TAAATGGAACAAACATTAAAGGCCCCTTTCACAGGGGCTGATCAGGAGAGGATCCATGCACAGATCCTCTCCTGATCAGCGGTACGGATCAGATGTCACAGATGTGACATCCGTGTCCATACCGTTTTTTCCTCCATCTTGCGATGGAGAAAAAAAAACTGAAACTGTCAGACCCCATGTGTGTCCATGGGAAATCTGATATAAACAGACATGTGATCGTCTGCATCAGATTACCCCCCATCCAGCACTATCCTCTTTGTCAAAACGGAACGCTGTTCTGTCCGTTTTATCAAACCCCGCCGGAGCCGGGGGGGGTGGGGGGGGTGGGGGTAACTGGGTGTAAATGGACGCTCGTCCATTTATACACAGCTGCCCATAGACTAGCATTGGGCATCCGATCAGGTCTGCCTAAAAAAACTGACAGGCAGACCAAAAGCGGAGCGGCCGTCTGAAAGGGGCCTAACAATATCAGGAGACTTGTCTGGGGCATTCGATTAGGAGACTTGCATTCGGCAGCCGATCGGGTCTGCCTAAAAAACTGACAGGCGGAGCCAATTAGAGCGGCCGTCTGAAAGGGGCCTAAAAATATCAGGAGACGTAGTTTACTGGGAGCACAGCGCCCTAACTCAATACTTCTTTCAAGAGCCAATTCCTGATGCAAGCAGAGGACTGGCTATTGGGGGGAGTAATGCAAAGATATCAAAATGCCTTGAGTGGAGGTGCGTGGCGTTCCTCAGCAGATTGCATTTGCATGCAGACGGCTCTGTGCAATGTCCACATAAGATGCCGAGCCTCCATGACTGAAAGAACTGAAAGCCAATAAATGAAAAGGCTAGATAATACTGGAGGGCCTCCAGCCAGGAAATGAGATGGGCTCTACCTTACTTGCTGCGGGTTCTAATGTACATTGTGAAAAGCTCTCAGTGTGCAGTGATATCAGAGTAATCAATCTCAGTACAGGAGAGGAACATGTACAACTGTGTAAGACGGAAGGGAAGGCTTGCATTCGACTTTAAAGAAGAACTCTGGGGAAACTTTTTAATAACACTTGCAGTGGGGCTACCTCCACACTGCAAAGGTTAACTGCTAGTTTATGTCTAGGTGCCAAAAAGTTATAACTAAACTAAGGTTATAGTCACCTTAGGGAGGCGTAAATACTATAAACTCCTGCAGACACATTTTGTATTAACCAATATTTCACTTTATGAAGGAAAGGCCACCTAATGATTTCAATATATCTTAGGGACTCCAGTGATGAGATCTGTCCATGCAGGTACAAACCTCTTCAGGATCCATGGCAAAAATATCTCACTAGAAGCAAATGACAAGCCAAGTCATTCCGCCACACTCAACCTATAACTTCGATAACACTGTTTACTGTAACTTTATGCAACTTTATGCATTTATTAGATCATTTAAAAAGGAGTCATCGGAACAGTGATCTCTAGTAGCTAAAATGTAATCAATCACATTTTATATTTCATCAGTCAGAGCAATCAAAGCTTGTTACTGATTGGCTGCTATGGCGTACTATACTCTACACCAGTGGTTCTCAACCTGTGTAACCGCAGGACCTACATTTGTCCTTGGTCATTAAGTCGCGACCCAAGTCGCACTGCTATAGAACACAAGGCAGTAGGGTACCACGTGTTCCGGTGCGGGCGTACACACTCTGGGTTGTGGTGTGTTTGGGGTACCATTCAAATGAATTGCACTGCAGAATGTGATGTCACTCCGGTCCAAGCACTTCTATAGCACATGTGAGGGAGCTGTAAGCAATGCACGTATGGATAGAGCTCGCTCAAGGATATACCCCCATCTCAAGTGGACACTCGGCGCCAGGCAGCATATTTTGAATGGCTGGTTGGTGTGAGAACCGAATGCTGTCCTAGGGGGGAGGAAGAGGAGCCTTTGACCTAGAAAAATGGAAGCCATGCAGCAATCCACCGAAGATGGGGTCGCGACCCACTTTTGGGTCACGACCCACCAGTTGAGAACCAAGGCTCTACACAATATTCTTTGCTTTCGGATAGTCCCTGACATGGCAGTAAATCTGCTTTCAATATACCATACTGGGCAATAGTTTTCACTAACATATATTAAAAGGGTGTCCATGGTCAAAAATTAAAAAATAAATATGTATGTCTATATTGAATTCCATAATTACAATCCCACTGCTAATAACCATATCGATCTAGAATTTTGAAAACTTATTGAAGATGCCCATGGGATGTATTTCCTTAGTGCAGTGGCGCAATGTCACTCAGCCCTGTGAAAATACACTTCCTTGTGTCACCACTCTAACTAAGCCTACCTTCACTGGGAACTGCAACTCAGCGTCTGGACAATGTAACACTGACATTAAAACGTGTATCAACATACATTTCACATTGCTTGCTGGAAGCAATGCATGATGGACTATGTAGTCTTGCTAAATCAAGATTGTAGGGCTGCAGCCAACAATTATTTTCATAGTCGATTAGTTGCCAGATTATTATTTTCTTCGATTAATCGATTGCATAAATAAATAAAAAAAATCATCTCTCTCTCCTCACTGGGAATCCATGAAGTTGTTGATAGTGATGGGCAGATTTCGTCTGGAGGCAGCACTCACTACTTCTTCAAGTAAGCTTTAAATTGTATTTTTAAAAACCAACTTTAGTATTTATTCATATATTATAACAATGCTGATGTTATAACAGGATAGTATATACTGGGACTTTACAACTCCTTTAGGTATGCGAAACGTATTGCCCAAGCATTTGAATATATATATATATACAGGGCTCGTGTCTACCCCCAAGGGGCCTTGCAATCTAATACCCACAACATAGCTTAATACATAAGGGGAGTACATATGTTTTGCTTTTTTGGAGAAAACTAGAGCAGCCACTCAAACTTGAAGCGAACATAAAACCCCAATGCATATTTTGTCCTTGGTAGAAATCAAGCCCAGGACTCCACTGTTGCAAGGGAAGACTGGTATTTCCGCTCTTACTTTTAATTTACAGTTTTGTCCAGAAACCTTTTTTAAAATATTTTTATAAACAGATAAATTATGTTGGGCACACCTATAGAACGCAGAACAAAAATACATGTTGTTTTCAAACCATATTTTGTTTACACACAGAAAAATTTGTTGGTTGCCCTTCAGCTTATTGAAATAATGCTTCATTCTAGGGATGCACCGATACCAAGTACGGTACAAGTACAGATACTTTCCCAGCTCCAAGACTAGACTAGAGAAAAAAATTCAAATGTTAGGAGGCAGCTGTCATTTGTAAGGAGCACACGGAGCTCCTGGGATTTGTACATCTCTGTTTTAATGTACGATTTGTTTTTATAAATAAAAGGGATGCACCGATACCAGTTTTACAAGTACAAGTACTGGCTCTGGAGCGCCAGAGCCAGGTCCCAGCTGCAACCGCTGCAACCCTGGTAGTTCTCATAAAAATGCCAAGTATCGCACTGGTGTCTGAACTGGTATCAGTGCATCCCTACTTCATTCCTCCTAAAAAGTGGTGAAATTAAAAGAAATTGTAGAATGTGTCTACCTGCATGACTATGGTATGTCATAGAGTAAAGCAAAGAAAGTGTGAACGGAGAAAGATACCCTAAAACAGCCTGGGCAGATTTGTTGGCAACCCTAGAAAAGCACAGGGTGCCTTGAATCTGTGCAGCACACAACATAATCTCAAGAGTATCAAAGACTTCTGGAGTGAAAAGTATTGGCCAGTGTTAGAAAGCTCTGTCGCAGGTCATGGGTCCTCCAACAGGATAATGACCCAAAATATGCAGCTCAAAACAGCAAAAAAGAATGGCTAAGAACAAAATATTGGGCTATTCTGAAGTGACCTTCAATGAGCCCTGATCTGAATCCTATGAAAAGAGATGAAACATGCAGTCTGGAGAAGACACCATTCAATATTGTCGGTACTCTTCCATCAAAACAGAAGAACCCACAATTTTCTGAAATAACTTGAAACTGACAAAAGTAAATCGTTATCCATAATTGTTTATTCCATATGTAATAAAAATCCGACTTTACTTTTGATTCAACAGAATATTTGAAATAATAAAATAAATATGAATGGGCATGGACAAAATTGACCCTTAATCGAATATTTTTTGAACAACAGAGGGAATCACTGCAAGCTCTCAAAGAGACTTCAGCACCTGCCAACAGGTAGTTTGGTCAACTCTTCTGGAGTAAACTGCTCCAGCTGTTGTAGGTTCGAAGGGCGTCAGACTGCATTTCAGCTCTTTCCATAGAGGTTCCATAGGATTCAAATCAGGTCTCATAGAAGGTCACTTAAAAATAGAGCAAAGTATTGTTCTCAACTATTCCCGAGTGCTTTTAGTTGCATGTTTTGGGTCAATATTCTATTGGAGGACCCATGACAGGGACTGAGGCAGAGTTTTCCAACACAGGACAAGACGTTTTGCTCCTTGATGATCTTGGGATTTCTAATTGTGCCCTGCACAGATATATTGCCAGACACAGAAGAGCAGTCACAAAACATAACGGGGTCTCCTTATAGTTTCAGAATAGGCACGGTGTTCTTTTTTTTCTTTAAATGCTTCATTCTTCTTTCATCTGTGAACATAGACTTGATGTAACTTGCTAGAAAGCTCCATCTAGCAGCAACAATCTCACTTGAATAGCCTTCCTCTCCTCCATAGTTTAGTAGCTGCTGATCTCTGTTCCTCATTTTCTCTATTGGATAGAAGTGTGCAACTCCCTGTCATACAATCAGCTCTGTTACAGATCAGTGCAGGAGAAGAGGTGATGAGGACCATTACTCAGTCGTGTGATCTAATAGAAGCACTCAAGGTATCTAAACACTTCCTAAGCCATACACTGGAAGTCTAGCTGGAAATATGAGCAGCCAGATCATAATTTACCACAAGCTGCCTCTCACCTCTCTGATGGACTTCCCCATCTCATATAAATGTTTAGTAAATAATGATATATCTGATAACACATGGATGGCACTCACCATTTTTCTGTGGGCACTTTTATTTTATTCATCTTGACTCTGTGTCTTTATTTCACCATTGCATTCCCTGAAAATGATAAAACATTTTAGAACTTTACCAAATCATACAGTCATTGATATAAATTAATGTTATTCAAATCTGAGGGCCCATTCACACCACATCCAGATCATCTCCAGACTAGAGCGTTTCCAGACCCAAAATGCATCCTAATGTATCCCTATGCTATTTCTGGCCTCTGTTCACACCAGCACAGTCCGTTCCAGACCAGACCAGACCAGAAAAATACTGCAGGTCTCATTTTGTCTAGTCTGGAATGCACTGGAACTGCGGGCAGGTTCACACTATTTTCCAGAACAGATCTGGTCCGGAAAATGGTGTGAACCTGCCCTAAATGTACCAAAGGGACAATTATTCTTTCATTAATCATCCGACTATCATCCGGAATGCACACTTGCCCTTTCCTCTACATAAGGGTCAACCATCGCCACTTGTATGTGTTTAACTGATTTAAAGCCAGCTTTTAACCAACCTAGCATATATTCCTCTGCTCCCCTGACACTCCATTCAGCATTAGGAGCCTAACTGGACTTGGTATCAGCCTCTTGCAATCCTCTGCACAGCAGAGCTCAGGTTGAAAAGAGACAGAAGCAGCACGAGGAGCCAATCCGTTGTACTGCAGTGCTCATGTGCCAACAAGGAACATACTGATGGGAGGAGAGAACAGAGTGACAGACAGATGAGCTTTTCAGTTTGTTGCTTCTCCTTTCACTGTCCTGTCACTGGCAAGGAGAGAGGCAAGATCTGGAGGTGCAACTTAAAGGAGGAGAACTATGAGGTGAGTGCTTTTCACTCACCTCATAGTTCTAGCTGACCTGTGACAATGAGACTGTCACAGGTCGGCTCAGTAGATCGGGAGGTGAGCGAACACATACCAGCGTTCGCGCACTTCTCGATCCTGTCACAGCTCTCTGCCGTGACAGGTGAGGGGCTGGATTCCCCCCTCCCCACTCCGATCCTCCAGCGCTGACTGGCAGGACGGACGGGGGAGGGGGCGGGTACAGCTTGCTCTGCCTCTAGATAGGCAGAGCTAGCTGTCACTCACGCAGCTGGGCGGATACAGACATAATTGTCGGGATCCATTTCAGCGTCTCAGTATACCGCGAGCAGTAGCTCGCGGTATACTGAGCTTAGGGTGACGGGAGGATGCTAGTTTGTGTCCTCCCGTTACCCTAAGGAGAACTATGGGGAAAAGCCTTAACCCCATAGTTCTCCTTTAAGGCTGGACTCGCACCTAGGTGGCAGTGTTTTTGCTCATTACTATACCTTTTCCCGCATTTTTTGCAATAAACCATTCTTCAGAGACATCCACTGGCACCCCTTGTTTTGGGTTCCACTGCCAACTGAAGTCTTACTTTAAATTGTATTTGAACTGAGAGGCAGAGAGTCAAACTTGCTACACAAAGCAATACAAGTATGTGATAACTGTTTAAGGAAACGGAAGAAGTTGCACAAGAACAAAACCAGAAATTAGAAGAAGCAGGTGAAAGGTTTAAAGCTGAACTTAAGGCAGAAATAAAATACATCAATTAAAGCCAAACACTGGGCAAAATAACTTACACAATGCACTGGGTGTGTAAATGGTCATTACAAAGCTGGGTGTAATGTGTGGAGGGCTGCTGTGAAGTATAAAAATCTTACCTTTCAGTATCATTATACAGGATTTATATAGCGCCAACAGTTTGCGCAGCTCTTTACAATATAAAGAAGACATTACAATCACAATACAATTCAAGACAAGATGGTAAGGAGGGCCCTGCCGTGAGGGCTTACAATCCATCTCCTACACATAATACTGGTCTTCTGTGCACTGTGGTGAGTGAGGGATGGGATTTTAACAGTGAAGTGCTCCAGTTGCATCCTCGCCCCTCCCCACTACTTGCCCATTCACATTATGCCTTGTATACCAGATATTCTGTGACTGGAGGAGAGGAAGGGGTGGGGATTTGACATTCTCTCCTCCTCCAATCACAATATGTCTTGTATTCGCGTAGTGAGGAGGGGCGAGGATGCAACTGGAGCACTTCACTGTTAAAGTCCCATCCCCCACTCACCACAGTGCACAGAAGACCAGCATTATGTGCAGGGGCCGGCATGCTGCACGGTAAGATTTTTCTACTTTGCAGCCATCCACGGATAACATACTGCTTTTAATGACAATTTACCCACACAGTGCATTGTGTAAATTATTATTTTTTTCTTTAATGCAAGCAGTGCAAGAAACTGAATTGGATTTATTATCATCCTCTTGCAATCCCTATTCAGCAGAGTTAAAAGGAGAACTATGGGGTTAGGGCTTTTCCCCACAGTTCTCCTTATGGTAACGAGAGGACACAAACTAGCGTCCTCCCGCCACCCTAAGCTGTAGCTCGCGGTATACTGAGACACCGCAGCTGAAGCGGATCCTGACAATTATGTCTGGATCCGCCCAGCTATCTAGAGGCAGAGCCAGCTGTACCCGCCCCCTCCCCCGACCGTTCTGCCAGTCAGCGCTGGAGGATCGGAGCGGGGAGGGGGGAATCCAGTCACTCCCCTGTCGCGGCAGAGAGCCGTGACAGGATTGAGAAGTGAGCAAACGCCGGTATGTGTTCGCTGACTTCCCGATCTACTGAGCCGACCTGCGACAGTCTCATTGTCACAGGTCGGCTAGAACTATGAGGTGAGTGAAAAGCACTCACATCATAGTTCTCGTTTAAGACTGGGAAGGAATCAGCACAAGGAGGCAATCAGTTGTGTTGCAGTGCACGGAGCGCTCTCCAGTCACAGGCTGGAGAGTGACAAGACAAGACCGGTAAGTGTTACTCAACTGCAGTATAGAAAAATTACGTTTTCTGTCCTGCCACAAAGGACTTTGCTGAAGAGAGCTGTGTAAATCTCAGAGGTGTACAGACAGAAATACACATCATTTGGCAAGTAAAGCAGCTCTCTTACACTTATGCATTGTATCTGTGTATTTAGGAGTTTGCCTGGACTTCAGCTTTAAGAAACTCTTCGGGTCAAAAAAAGAAGAGCAAAATAAGAACAAAAAATGTTTTGGTAAACAAAAACATCATACTACCAAATTGGTGGAGAATCTGCGGATTCACTTCACCCCAGGAACAGAGAGGTAGAATTCTCTACTATGCCCACAAGACGTCACTAGCCACAAAATATAAGGAATCTGCATTTATGATCCATACAGATGATGACACAGGACCTTCATCGCATGTATTGGTCATCTTCCGACCTATGCTGACAATGTGGTCAGGCAGTAGGAGACATCTTATATATTTATGATTAAGGCCATGATTGGGTGAAACTCCTCATGGAGCGGCAGGACACAGTGATGCTGTTTAAGCCTCAAACTGTTGCAGTGTTATGTGGTCGGATCTTTTCTGTCTGGGCGTCTGTGAACTTGCGCTGAGGATGTGCTCCTATTGGCGAGCACATCCCCCTGCTGAGCCATGGAGGAGCTGTGTATCTACTTTTAGACATCTTACATGTAGTTCGGTCCTGCAATACCCTCAAAGTGTCCTGTGGCGATGTGAGGCGGATATCCCATAAAAGTTACAGACTGGGAGATCTCCTTTTTTCGACTCCATCTCAACAGGATCCGGAAAAAGACTTCTATTCAGTCAGTTCTGACGCATTTGGTCAATGCTGCCAGGAATTGCATCGAATGAAAGTAGAAGCAGACGAGTCCCCCTTCCATTGCCTTGCGGATGAATGCAGAGGATGGAGGATGTTATTTCCTCTTGTAGGGGTACACATGATCAGTACTTTAGGTAGGCTTGGTTTTATTGGAATGAGTTCTCCTCTACTTCAGAGAACACGACTCTGCAACATGTGTGGAACTAGGATCATGGGTGAAATCTTGTTTCTTTGCTTTCTCTTCCTTGGGTTGGAGTATTCTCTTGTCTTTTTCTACCTATTCTATGTGTCTAAATTGTTTCTTGGCTTCATCTCCTTCTCTGCTTTTTTCTTATTTTCCTGCTACACCGCACCTTTCCATTCTACCTTTCCTCTGTTCTAGCCTTCCCTATCCCTTTTTCTGGCTTCCTTTATAAAAAAATAGATGGTTATTATAAGGACTGTGATGTTCCTTCAAATACTGAGCATTGCTTTTGGGAATTGAATGGGAGGTGTTGAGGGTAGTGTAGCGAGTGACTCCCGACACCTTTTAGACCAAGGGTGGGCAACTCGTCTCTCCAGCTGTGCCTTAAAGGAGAACTATGGGGTCAGTGTTTTTCCCCAAAGTTCTCCTTAGGGTAACGGGAGGACACAAACTAGCGTCCTCCCGTCACCCTAAGCTCAGTATACCGCGAGTTACAGCTCGCGGTATACTGAGACGCCGCAGCGGATCCCGACATCGATGTCGAGATCCGCCCAGCTGCGTGAGTGACAGCTGGCTCTGCCTATCTAGAGGCAGAGCCAGCTGTACCCGCCCCCTCCCCCGTCCGTTCCGCCAGTCAGCGCTGGCGGATCTGAGCTGAGAGGGGGGAATCCAGCCCCTCCCCTGTCACGGCAGAGAACCGTGACAGGATTGAGAAGTCAGCGAACACCGGTATGTGTTCGCTGACTTCCCGATCTACTGAGCCGACCTGTGACAGTCTCATTGTCACAGGTCGGCTAGAACTATGAGGTGAGTGGGAATCACTCACCTCATAGTTATCCTTTAACCTCAAATCCCAACATGCTTTGCCTCTGGGAGTCATGCCTGTGGCTGACAAAGTCTTGCAATACCTCATGTAGATCCACAACTGCTATAGGGCCAGAGTGGTCCATCCCTGTTTTAGAGAATACTAAAATGTAACTATAGGCTTGCTTTAAAGTTTGTATTGTATTGCCAAGGTTTCCGCTGAAGCTCAAAGCAAAACTCCAGCCAAAAATAAAAAAAAAAGGAATATGTTCCACTGAAAGATAAAATCATAAAAGCAGCTTTTGCTGCAATATTCACCCCCCAACAGTTCTTCTTTTCTGCGACTCAAACTCATT